CCCCGGTCCTTGGGGTCGCACAACCCTCCAGACCACTCTCCTCTCCTTGGAGGACTCCGTGCTCCAGCACCTCTTCGGAGTGGGGGAGGAGGAGCTCCTGAGCCTCGGCGCCTCGCACGCCGCGCGCTCGGAGCTCCGCGCGGCGCCGCGCGGCTCCGGTCGGCGTCGGCTCCGGGGAGAAGGCCCGGTACCGGTTTGGGGTGTCTAGTAAGGTTAAGCCCCTTGGAGGTGAAGAATGGTTAAGAGGTCTCCAGTAACCACCCCTTGTGCTTGTGGCGTCCTGGTATAGACCTTTGAACATGATGCTTGCACGGATGTCGCCTGTCGCATACATCGCCTGCCGCGGATCCCTGCAGTCTTATGTGTTGACCGCTGGTCACCTTAGGGGGGTCCAGGTCGACGACCAAAGCATCAACGAAACCCTCCAAGAGAGGCTGAGAGACCTGACTGGGACCTGGGACCCTGTAGTAATAACTACACTGGGACCCTATGGGATAGGCTATAAAGCTGTTCAACCTCTCAATTGGCTGGTTCCTTCTTGAGTGGGCTTCACACGTCGAGGAGAACGGTTGATGTGGGATTCGTCAAGGCCAGTTCCTTTTGCTCAGTTCCTTTTGACACACGAAGTATGTGCAGTGCTGTATGTATGATCATCATGAAACTGGAATTCACCACCCGTTTGTAGGGGAACATGATCATCCAATGGGCCATTTCCTCCGCTTCCATGCTTGTTTCAGGGACGTGTAGCCCAGGTCTGCAAGCATTTGAGCGCGGCAATGGCCAAGTTTGCGGAGCAGGCGAGGCGCGCGCCCCTTCCTGGTGGTCTAGACTGTGCTGCTGAGAAGCTGGCGAGCCGTTGTGCCAGTAGGATTCACACTGTGAAAACACTCCCCGACGAACACATCGCATGGAGATGGATGGCCAAAAAACATCGATCGGTCTGGGACCATTGAGGAAGTCCGAGCGGTTCTTTGTCTCAGGTCAAGGACCGGTGAACTCCCAATTGTCCGAGCACCCGGTGAGCCCGAAGAAAGAAGCCAGGGGGCATTCAGCAGGAAGTGCATGGCGTTTCCTGGCAGGAGTGTGAGATGAGGTTTCCATGCAGGAAGACTTCTTTTCTACTACAGCCCCCCCAGCTGAAAACTCGGGGAAAAAACACGATTTTCCATGTCAGAATCAATGGAACACGCCAAATTAGGCTGCCTAGGCATGTGAATTTTTAAAACCGCAGCATTTGCCCCATGTGAAACATGGCCGGCATTTCGGCGTTTTTGGCTTTCTGCCTCGTTTGTTGCGCAACTCCGAAACCGGAACCCTTCGCCGAAACCCGGCCACGTCGGGTGGTTTCTCAGACGAGGGCGGCGCCGACGCCACTCGAATTGCGTCGGGTGGGCGAGTGGCAGGTCTTCGCTGCAGGCTACCAGCAGCTGGTCTCTTGCCAAGGAGCTGTGGGGTCAGTCATCAGTCTCCAGCCCCATGCCTCAACTGATCAACATCAAGACCACCATGGTCTGGCATGCAGGCATTCAACGTGTTTTTAACCCGGAACATGAAGCGTCGCCTCACGTGTGTCAACCACAGGAGGCTCATGCAGCCAGATTCCATTGGTGGAAGAGGAGCTCACCAGAGCAGTCCGGGTGCCCGATGCGGCCTGGAAGCAGCGAAACGCCCGAAGAAGCAATCAATGCTTGGGCTCCAAAAACACTCGGATGGCCTGGTCTCTTGGACCATTTTCAATCCTCTACGAACAGGTGGTGAACTCACTCACTCACTGCACGTTTCCGACCGGTCCAATGGTCAATCCTTCTTCCGGAACCCTCCGAGTTCAAGCATTCAATCCCTAAGCATTGTACCCAACCACGGTATAGGAGGGTTTGGACCCTGCATAGATAGCAGGGGTTTGGACCCGAAGCAAAGCTTCAGCGGCGGTTTGGGTCCTCCAGGGGTCCTTGAGACTCCTCGGGTAGAAGACTTTGGGCCCAACAGTGCCACCTGTGAGTGCTCCACGCCCTTCGTGCAGGGCGACCAGCTGCAACGCACCTGGCAAATCTTCCTGCAGCGGGCCTCCAACGATGCCAAGGACGGGCGGTGACACCGAGGTGACAACGCGCTGATCAGGCCGACCGGGTGACCGGTCTGAGGCCAGACATGACCATCATGACCTTTGTTTTGATAGGAAGTCTGACCATTGACCTTGGGTGGTGGGGGGGTTCAAAATAGAGGTCACACAAAGGCGAACTCAGTGTTAGGTACAAAGTCATCGTCCTCAACGGGAGCACGGGAGGCTTCGTTGACTGGACAATGATTCTCAGAGGCTATAGTATTCAATCAATCACTAAAGAACACTGTCGACCACCACATAGATCTCCAGAAGTCCCCTGCCAACGCATCTCCATCTCCCTGCCCGCACCACTCTGATTCGACCCATGCACCGAGTCCAACGTCAAAAGCATCGCCCGCCCTGAGCGCGTCGAGCGGAGAGGCTAGGCGGGGCCTCGTTCGCCTCGCTCGTTCGCAGGTGGAGCTCTACGGCCTGGGCAGCGTGGAAGACGTGCTGCTGGACCAGCGGCGCAAGGCTCTGGAGCTCTTGGAGCAAAGCCTTCGAGAGATCCACCACGCCAGGCGGGTGGTCCCGCACCGCGCACGGCTGAAGGACGTTGATCCGGAAGGGTTCCTTCCGTTGATCGTGGCGGGTTGGCCGGAGGGGTCAAGGGAAGATGTGCCAAGGATGGAGGTGGTTGGGGGACGGAGGGTATCTGAGGAGTGTTTGCAGGTAGAGTACTGTTGATGAAAGTTTTTAGAGCTCTAAGGCACGGATCATGTTGGTCATTAGTCCTTCAAGTCAGTCTTTTGAAAGTGTAGTTACCTGGACCTTCTTTCGGGGTGTCCAATGGAGACCCTAAGTAGTGGGATGGGGCTTCCAGCCAGGTGACCCCTAAGTAGTAAGGTGCTGTGCTGGCAAAATTCTCGTTTTCGTCTTCACACAACTCCCGCCCCCTCCTTTTCTGTTCAACAGGAAAAGTCAGCTCATGGAGAAGAAACCGCAAGGGACCCTTGGCCCCAGTTCCTGTGGTTCAAAAATTGAGGTTCGAGCTTTGAAGCAGAGGAGACACTCAGAGAATCTCAAGATATCTCAAGCTAGCTTCATTTCAGTACCAGAACTGGACATAGCCATACATGGCCCCCAAGTTCGGATGATCCTGTGAAAAAACCTCATAGCAAACAGGAGGTGAACTGTATTGTACACCAAATGTGTGTGTGTGTGTGTGCGTTTTTGTTTCTTTTTCGGACTGTACAGAACTTGGAACAGCCGAGCCTTTTTTTGGAAGTCTCAGAAGCCGCTCAGTCTCTGCATCGCCAGGCAGAGTCTTGTGACGCCCTCAGCGCTGGCGATGCAGTCGTTTTGGTCACCAACATGAACCCAGAACCCAGACATGACCCGACATGACCCGGTCAATCAGGTTCTGGGTACTCATGACATGTGATGTACAAGTAGGAGGATGACATGAGAAAAGGCTCTGAGCAAGGTGTAAATCATGCAGGAAAGCTGGATCATGTATATGAGCTAGGCTCAAAATTAGTGAAAGTGAGAGTGGTTATGGGATTTCAAAAATTAATGTTTCGCTCAAAAATGATAACACACTCACCAAAAACAATAACATCGACGGACATGAACAACGATAATAGCACGCTAACCAAATCCTGAGGACCTGCAACTCCGCAAATTTTGACCGCCACTCATGTAGGACTGTTGATGAAAAACGCAACCCAAGCCTGGAGATGGTAATTCCATACTGGAGACAGATAAGGCTTTATCAATCAATGAGTGGTAGGTCTGTTATGTTGGAAAAGCAGAATCAAGCCATTCGAGGTTCAGGATGGCTGCGTCTTTGACATGACCACACGACTTGCTTGGAGCTCAGATGTGGAAGGCTGCTGAGTGAACCCCCGAAGAATCTTCAAACAATGCCAGAAATGCTGCACGAGTACGTACTGGCAGAAGAAAGACACTGGCACCACACTAGGTACTATGGATTAGTATGGGAAGACTGTGGTAGGTGTTTCAGACGGTTCCCGGTGTCTTTCTTTCTTTCTTTCTTTCTTTCTTTCATCAACTGTCACGCTTCCCAAAGTGATGCGATGCTGAATTCTGGAGGCCAGGGCACTGCGCGACCAGGAGCAGCTGATGAGGTGGCATTTGAGCCGCTTGGCGCGCAGCTGTTGGGCCATTGAGAGTCTGGAAGTGCAGGGAGTGGGGAGAATTCACCCACCCAGGAGAAGTGGATCACCTGCAGGGAAAACGACCTACCTTGTTCGGGGGCAGAAGTGAGGAACCTGGTGACCTCAGATCTACTTCGGTGGAAGTTTCGATTTTAACCTTTTTGTATTTAGAACACCCTACAAGTCCAGTCCGACCCAGTAAATCCTGGTCTTTTACCTCCTTAAGTATTGGTTTTGTATGACCACGGCCCAGTAAAGTGAGGTCCAACTGCCTTGTAGGGTATCATATCCAAACCTTCTCCGGTCTTCTCCGAAAAAATTCAATGTAACTTTGGGACCTGCTTCGAGGGGACTGAGAATGTTGCTTTTCATGGGTTCTGGAGTCGGAAAGAGACAGTTCAAGGAAGAGAACGCTCAAGGGATCTCAAGGGCTCGGTTTTAACTTTGTTGTATTTAGAACATACAAGGGCTCGGGAGTCAGGAAGAGAAAGTTCAAGGGCCAGTCAGGTTCGAGATACCTGGAGGCACCAGGAGAGAGAAACGCTCGAGCGAGCGATAGAGCGAGCGATAGGGTGTGGGGTGCTACGAACCGAGGAAGGAAGGAAGTCGGTTGTTGCCCTTGCACATCGCATCCACGGCCCCTGGATGGGGCGAGCTACACCATCCCAACTCCAACTCGTGACTCCTGAGCCGTTGCTTTTTGGCTGTTTTGATGACTGTACCGCAGCCAAGTGGGACCACCACGGCCGACCTTGGGGGCCGACGTGTCGCTGTCAGTTGCGGTTTTCTGCAGAACATGTTCAATGGAGTGAAGCGGGTGTGTTGGTTTCCGCACAACAGTCTTCGAAACAGAGAGATAGACTGAACCACGCGGAGCAGGACTGAACCATGGATTCCACGATTTGCAGCACAAAACCGCTCAGCCTCAGCCAACCATCCCATGCGTATATCGTAGATGACCTTGTTTGCATTCACGTACCGCACCAAAGAACGAACTTCGCATGTTTCGCTGCCGAAGAACTCCACGGGTTTGGCCGTGGTGAGAAACGTGTCGTTTGGCCGCGCGGCACGAGGTCATGCTTTGCTGGCGCTTTTCTGGTGGCAGTTGCGGCAGCAACGTGAACAGGGACACTTCGAGGCGAGTGAAACGGAGGTGAACGGTGCCGTTTCGACCACTGCCGAAGACCGCGCGTTGCCAGGCACCTCCGGAGCTTCGCTTCGAGTTGCCGGGGCTGCGCTTTGAGGACATCTGCTGTGGGGGCCCAGTGATGAGTGCAGTGATGAGCACAGACCAAGGATGATGGGACTAATTAGGACTGTCGTATTATGCAGTCCCTGTGATGAGAATACCTTTTATTCTGGCTACTAGGTTGGATGCCATCGCTCTTGGGTTGGAGGCCAATACCTCTAATTCTTTTCGCAAGTTTGGGAAGCGATCAGTTTTTTCGATGTTTATTTTCTCAGTAGGTTGTACAGGTAAACGCCCCTCCCCCGTTGCACTTCAAACGAGGATCTTATTGTTTTCTTCACGCGAGCACGTCAGGAAGAGGTTTAGTTTGCTTCGAAACATAACCGCCACGTTCTCGTGATCTTCGCTTCCTCCAGCCCTCCGCGCGTCGCTCGAAACGCTCCCAGGTCGACGTTGGGATGTAGTGCTTGCAGCACTGGAGCGCACAGGAGGACATCTTTTTTGGGGGGATCAGGTCAACTCTCTGACAGTCGATTTCACATCGGGTAATGCCGAAGCGAACACGTCGCGGCTGGCGAGAGGTTACTGTCAGACTGACACTTCGGAACATGCGGCATACAGATCCTTCACCATCAAAACCTCTTATAAATACTATAAAAGAATCTAAAACCTTATTCCCTTACGCGCTCCCCCTTGCTTCAACCGGGGTCGGCGGATTATGACTCTAAAAGATATATGTCTTCACCATCGAATCCTGTCGCCTCTCGCGCTCTTTTCCCCGCTTTCCCATGCCGCGCTTCCACACCCGGTGAGGCTCGGTGGCGGCCTGGGGCGGCGCTCCAGATCTCCAGGTGCTGCGAGTTACAGTTCGAAGAGGGCAGACGAAAGAGGATGATGGTAGAGACTCTGATGGTAGATGTTTGGGGTTTTGATATGTTTTGATATGTTTTGATATGTTTTGATGCACCTCTGTAATTAACATGTTTCAGCGAAAGAGATGCCACTGGTGGTCTCCACCAGTACGTCCTCAGCTTTCATGGAACCATCTGGTCTCCAGCTTTTTGCGAGTCTTGGCTCGAAACCAGGAGTGGCTGCCAGGCGGGGGATGTCAGAAATGTGCAGCAGAGCGAAGACGGAGCGACGGAGCGAAGCAGAGCCAGTGGTGAAAGCACAGACCAGGTCGACACTTGAAGGCAGTTCTGAATCTTTCTGAATGATCTTGCCCTAGGGATCCAGTCGTACCTTCTCAGGTACGGTGAGGACGGAGACTATTTATGTAGGCGCCAGGAGGGCCCAGTCGTACCTCCTGAGAAGGTGGCAGTGGATCCCTAGGGTTGCTTTGGCGCCCAAAAAGCCGTCCGATCATCCTGTCATGTCCTATACGGTATCAACCCCCCTCGAATCTCCTCGACTCGACTGCGCATTCTCGTACACCCTATGAAAGACACCCACATGGACCCCCAACCACTGGTTGGTAGAAGAAAACCATCTTCATCAATCTTCCATGGAGCCGTTGTCAGGGTCCATGCTACACTCCCCAAAACTAATGGACCCGGGTCGAATGGCTCAGTCAGACTGTTTTCCTCTACAAAGCAGTGGTTGGATAAGGGTCCATGGGATCCTTTCCGGGAGGGTAAGGCCTTCTCTCACTCTGCGGCTGTCTCTTCTCTTCTTCACTTCGACCTACCTGCAGAACAAGCGACCCGCGCTCGACCTACTCGCGCGACAAGCGGATCGCTCGACGTCGGAGCGAGGCCTGGAGCAGTTGGAGCACCTTCCTGGAGCTGGGTCGGTGGGGCGGAAGATGGATGCAGGGTCTTGGAGGGTCGAAGTAGAAGGTCTGGAGCTTCTTTCAGGTTAAACGCATGGGCTAACACATGGGCTAACATGGATCAAAAGGTTTTGTGTTGCTCAGCTACCTTTCGTTGCGACTTTGCCGCAAGTGGTCCTTAATGTTGGTGAAATGTGAATGTTGGTCTGAGAATCAGATTAGCAGATTAGCAGCGTATTTGATTGGGTGAATTGAACGTGGCTGGTCCAGTACGTGCAGAACCTCATGGCTCCACTGTGCCAACTGCTCACTGTGCCAACTGCTCCTTCGGCGGGGGCGCGACCTCCGACTGTGCGAAGGTGCAGCACGACGTGGTGCTGTTGGGATGTGGAGGAGCTTCGCCCAGGGGGGCGCCCAGTGGCTCGGCTATAGGCAGAGACTGGGACTTTCCTTTCTACCTTCCAAAGCAAGGAACAGAGAGTCTCGTCTCATCCAGTTTCGCCACCTTTGCCAGCAGACTTCAAGAAGTCACTGGTCATGAACATGGAAAATGAACCTGAAGATCAATGTGGGGCCATCGTCCATGTCTACAAAAGTGACCAAGACCGTTATAACCTCTATTTCCAAGATCTTCCCCCCCAAAAAAAACAGCTGTGCATTTCGCTTCAAGGTGGTGTGGCCGGGCACTAACAACACACACCGTTGGAGGTGTCTGAGTCGAGTCGAGCGTCGAGCGGAATTCGGTCTCTGGCAGGACCCGAGCTTGAACCGCTGGAGGAGTTCTTGCTGCTTCGTCCAGCTCCTCAAATGGGTTCGAAGTGCACCATGCGGAGCCATGCGGTCAGAAAAGCTATGTAGACATGGGGATTTTGGTGAAGGGGGGATGATGATGATTCCAGACATAGGGAGGATTCTGTATTTGAAGAAGAGATCCACCACCATGATTTGAGGTTTCACTTGACAAACATGTCATCGTCATTGTTTCATGCAGCATCGGGAGATTGACACATCAGACACCTCCCAAACAGTGACATTCTCCCCTAACATGTGGAAAAGAATCGGCTTGGAATCTTGAAATTGGATGCACCAGTTGTTTTTCGTTTTATTTATTTATTTCTTACTATTATTGTTTATTACTACTATTTCTATTCTATTTTCTAAATCATTGTTCAAACATATATGTTTTTATGTACCAATACCCTCCAACAGGTCACCACCCGCTCTCCTTTTCGAAGTCTACAAGAGCCAACCTGTCGGAGACCTGGGCAGGTCTCGGGTGCTGGTCTTCTTCTGTTATCTTGTACCTTTTAAACAGAACAATATCAGAACAGAACAATGGTCTGGACCCTCCAAGCCTCCAAGCCTCACACCCATTGTTGGAGTCTGGTCTTGTTCTATTGTACTTTGGAAAACCTTGTTGACCTTGTTGACCTTCTAGGGGGGGGGGCCCGTTGATTAATCCGACGATGACATTACTTTGGAAAAGGGGTGTCCCAACCCCTGGTCCTTCTGAACTCCCAAGATCCGGGCCTCCGGGCGGAACACGAGGCGAGCAGCTCCAACGGCTGGAGAGCAGCAAGGCGGAGACGTGGGACGACACGATGCGAAGGACTTGGCTTTTTGGACTTCAAAGAGTTATTTTATAAGGAAGTTGAACTTAATAAGATTCATAGATTGTGATAGATTCATAAGAATGATCGAATTGATTTCTTTTCATCTTGAAAAAAGAGAATGATAGGCTCAGATAGGCACTCAAACCGACCTTCGAAGATACTGATAATACTGATTGTTTTCCGTGTCGCCTTTGCGCAGATCGATCTGCCACATTCGATCCTTCTTCGAAGATGGTTCTGTGGCAGACAGCGTGAGACGTTTGACGACCGTTGGAGTCGGCGTGCGATCCGGTCGTTGAAGAACACCTATCCCTTTAGATGAGTCCACTGATGGGGGGTGCGACCTGCGAACACCTATCCCACGGTGACATCCCATGTGACCAGGCCGGACGTTGCATGGCGCACTGCCCGAACACAGACGACCGTGCCAGGCACAGGTGATGGGCTGCCACTTCCTGGCGAAGCATATTGGCCTCGTCGAAGCGGTCGACTTGGCGGAAAAAACGAGGGATTTGGAGACCTGGATGGACTTTGGCTCCTCTTGGGTCGAGAAGTGATCGGATCGTTCGGTTGGATATGATATCACTTGGATCTCCTTTTTCTGATCGTATTTGGAGAGGGGAACACAACGGGATACTGGGGCGAATCTTGAATGTTTGCATTCTGATGGAAGACTTCTTGAAGTCTTTGAGCCACAACACGTGGGACCTGTTGCGCATGTTGCGTCGGATCTTGGCGACGCGTTGTCGGGCGAGCTGGCTGGGTGAGGAGTTCAGTGGCCATGAGAGCCTTGTATATTCCCGGCTAAGGGTTATATATATATATACACCTGCCGCAATCATCCATTTTCGATCATTTTCGATCAACGGGTCTATCCGACTCTATCCATTTGGGAAATCTGCTCTACAGCCAGCCTGGAAAACATTGGAAAAGACACAATCACTGTCAACAGTCCAATACCATGTGTTCCTTTTTCTGCCATTTCCTCTAGTTGCCAGCAGCAATGGAGATCACAACACTCTCAGGTGCCACTCTCACAAAGCTTCATGAGGAGGAATTGGCCTACATGGTGGAGAATGGACATTCTGTTCGGGATCTGAAGAAGCTCCTGGCGGATCGAGTTGGGTTCTCAAGATTTCGACAAAGACTCTTGAGTGGAGAGTTGGGTGAGCTACAGGATGATATGCCTGTCAGACAAGTACCAAGCTTGCAGTTGATAGTCCTGAACTTTTGTCCGCCTGAGAAGGCTGTTTGGAAGGCACTGCTCCATGCGTGTAAGAAAAATAAAGCTGCTCAAGTCACAAAGTTGCTTGAGAAACCGTTCGATCCCAATGGAAGAGGTGCAAAAGCTAACCCCCTAATTGTGGCAGCACAACGCGGCCATTTCGAAGTGGCGCGGTTGTTGCTCGAGGCTGGAGCTGACAAGAATGCGGCGATGGCAGATGGGGCAACAGCCTTGATGCTTGCAGCTTTAGATGGCCACTTGGAAGTGGTGCGGTTGTTGCTCGAGGCTGGAGCTGA